AAAAAAAAAAAAAAAAAAAAAACAAAGAATTTACAACGACACTGAGAAAGTAGAAAATATTTTAATTTGTTGTTAAGTGTTACACACCGTAAAATGTCAAAAAAAGTAAATGGGCTGCAAAAAAATTTATAATACAAGCTTCAGTTTCCTTCAGCTCTTCAATTTTTTTTTGCTGTAGTCGTCGCCTACTTGTTTTGTTTGTTTCCGAGAACCATAGCAACAATCACTTTCAATATTTGAAAATTCAACTGACATCAATTTACTGCTTCCAATCTTTTTTTTTTTTTTTTTGCTACATAAAAGGTTACAATTTAAAGGTTTGCTGAGAAAAGCAGTTAAAAAAAGACTTGTGTCAAATATATATAAACAGAGGAAGTGAGAGAGAAAGAGAAACAGAGAGAGAGAGAGAGAGAAGACTACTAATAGATACAAAAATCAAAAAGCTATGTTAGTGTTAATCAACTTGAAAATCATTAATAATAAATTCTTCAAAAAAATATTCTTGCAAAATAAACTGGTTTCTATTGAATCACTGCCCAAACCCAACAAATAAAACCGTAAAGAATTTTTTGCATTGCTTTTATGGGCGTCATCATCACTTCTATTTACAGTTTTTAACTTCCAGACTAGAAGAAGGAGTACAGCAGAGCTAATATTGAGATGTTCTTCATCTAAATACCTAAATACTATCTGTATTTTTAGATTCAGTCAGTATCATCTGATTACTACGCTGCAACTGCAAATATACAATAAATAAACACCATAAAGTTACTAAAACATAAATTCTTCAACAAAAAGGCAGAGGCAAAATAAAATTGAACACTTATTAAAGTAAAGAAGATATTCCAATAGAAAACGATAAAGAATTCTTTTGTTTTTATCCAAAAAAAAAAACAAAAAAAACTTTTTCTCTGTTGGTTACCTTAGTATTCGAACTGGTCTCAACGGCTTCACAAACAATTCCAAAGGCTCCAGCACCAATATTCCTAATTGCTTCGTAGCTGCTACCCGCTCCACCAAACTGGAAGTCAAGTAGTAACTGTCGCCTAGCTAGATCGTCTAGTATCCTGTTAAACGCTGGAATAGCTGTTGGCATCCTGAAATCCTGGTTGAATATAAGCAGTGAATAATAATAATAATAGTATTAATGTAGTAATAATAATAATAATAATAATAATAATAATAATAATGATCAATATTTGAGGAAATAGGAACAACAACAAGTATTCATATCGTCAACAGGAGTAAATATAAATTTGTGCGCCTGGAAAATCGTTCGTAGTGTCAAGACTTGACACAGAACTTCAACTAACATCAATTTTGTAAATGCAATCATTTTTTCTTCATTCGGCA